GCCCGCCCCCGGGCCCCCCCCCCCCCCCAAGAAGAAGGGAACGGCCAACCACTTCCAAGTATTCTCTACCTGGGAAATCATGAAAAAGGATCACTAGAAGTCAGAAATGACTGGACAGCACATGGTTATTACAATAGAATAATAGCTGGCTGGATTTAGGATTCAGTGGTTTAGGTCTCTGGTTGCGAAGCCAGAGGTTCAGAGTTCGAATCCCCACTGGGCCTCCTGCAAGTACAGCCAGAGTCCCAGAAGAAGAGATGGGTAAACCATTTCTGAGTATTCCCTGGAAAAGGGTCGCCATAAGTTAGGACTGACTTGACAGCTCATCATCACCATCATCACTGTTCAATAACTGGAAGTCCGAAATTCTTTCTGATTGACCACAACGTTGAGATTCAGTTTGGCTTTCTGCTGAACTCTGCCGTAAAACAATATTTTAAAATGGCTGTTTATTTAAAACTAGGCAAATACACTGCCTCTGGAGTCAGACAGATGTATAAAAACACACTGACTGAGGGGACGCGTACATCTCTGAGGGGACCCACGGGGCTGAGCAAAGAGCATGAATGGGGGTTGGGGTGGGCTGGCCCCTCCACAGATCTCCCCAGTTCAATTCAGTCTTCCCATGTCATGGGAACCATGAGGGCTGGAATCTTGGGATCGAAGTCAAAGGGCTGCAGACTTTGAAACGTGTTGAAAGGCCTGCTCATCCTGTGGCTGAACTCGGCGACCTTTCCCTCCAAGATGTGGCAGTGGCCATCAATGTTGAGAGCTTTTTTTAAAAAGATCCGACAAACTCATGGACGCGGTGGCTGCTGGTCCTCGGAGTTGCTTGCTGTCATGGCAGGAGATTTTAATACAGTGATGGATAATGAAATGAATAAATTGAACTCTTCTAAAGGACAAAAAAGAGAGAAAGAAAGAACCTTAGAATATCAGACAAAATGATAAGTAAAATGGAGAAAAATGAATGAAAGTGAGAGAAGATTTTCTTGCTATATTATATGGAACATGTGGTCAGGATGGAGGTATTTATTTCCATCCGTGGTGGAAGTGTGAATCCCTTTTGAAATTTTGGAAGTTGGCATTTAAAGAAAAGGGGGGGAATTGGAAAACCACACTTGGAGTCTCGCTCAAAATTGCATTATTATCTAGTTAATAGCAAAGAGCAGCGCGGTTGGGCAAAAAAAGGAATTAATCGTGAATATGGTGATGGCAGCAAGATTAGTGATAACGAAAAATGGGGAATTTCTCATGAGAACAGAAGACTCCCTGGAAAGGACCCTGATGTTGGGAAAGTGTGAGGGCAAGAGGAGAAGGGGACGACAGAGGACGGGATGGTTGGACAGTGTCATTCAAGTGACCAACATGAATTTGACCCAACTCCAGGAAGCAGTGGAAGACGGGAGGGCCTGGTCTGCTCTGGTTCATGAGGTCACAAAGAGTCAGACATGACTTAACAACTAAACAACAAAATTATATGTTTCAGTGAAGTGAATGGTATAAACCAGGTTTGGAAATTAGTAATTAAGGATAAATTGACGTGTGAGATAAAGTTAGAAAAGGGATTTTGAAGGAGAATAACATTGTTGAGCTATATGGCAAGATTATTGTTGTTGTTGTTGTTGGATTTTTGTAATATGGAAAGGGGAAAGGGGAATACTCAAATGTGAAATAATGTCTCTTTGGAAAGGGTTAGGGGCATGATAATCCTTGGGTTGGTTCCAGGGATGGGTGCACAAACTGAGACATGTTTGTTGAGTTGATGTAAGTTACGTGTGCATTTTTGTTTCGTTTTATATTGTGCGTTATCTTGACATATTTCTACTGTATATAACTTGCTTTTCCCCATTTTTTGTTATTCTCTTGTAATAAAATTTGTAAAAGAGCTCTTTCGCTTCTGAGGCTGTGGGCCTCTTAATGCAAAGCGTGAGCTGGCCACCTCAAGGCAGGGCAGTTCATAGGGTATGGCATGGCATTTTTTTTCCAGATAAGGGTGTATTTGTAGAACCTTTACGCTCCCCAAAAAGCTCGGACCACAACTGAAATTTCCCTTACACCCAAACAATATTTCCCTCATATTTACTCTATGCTACTTTTCCCCTTATAGATTCTTATAGACCTGTTTCACTCTAACCCCAAACCCTTGCTTTATTTTTTGTATTGGTTTGTTCCCAGAATGTAGCTTAGCCCCACCACGCTGCCGCGTATGTCTGCAGGGGGAAAACTCTCAGTGGGAAACTCCATTCTTCTCCATTGGGAAGCTTTCAATTCTGGATCTCCCTTTGATGGAGAAATCTCACTGAGGTTGGCACGGGACCAGTGGGCGCAAGGCGCTGCTCCACACGTGTGGAGGCTTCCCTCTCCCCCCTGCCCCGTGAAAAGCTCTCCGGCTTGCAGATGAGTGCTATATCCCCTCTAGTCTGGTTTGTGAGCAGACCTGGTTTTGATGCAAACCTTGGGAAACTATGGACTTTGGGTTTGTTTGTTTTTTGCACTTAATGACAGAGCAGGGGGTAGGAAAAGCACCCCATCTGGAAAATGCCTCCATTGCTCAGTTATGATGAAAGGGGAGGACTCTATCCATAAGTTTTCAAGCTGATCTCCACAGCATTGAATGCTTTCCTTCTTATTCTTTTTTAAAAATTAAGATGTTTATGATACTCTGTCTTTGGCGTTGAATGCAGGACAAGTAGAAGGGCCCGGATCCAGGCTACCTGAAGGACCGTCTCTCCCCATAGGGGCCTTCTCGGTGTTTAAGATGCTCAGAGGAGGCCCTCCTCTCGGTCCCATGGCCAGCCCAGGCACGGCTGAGGGAGACATGGGACAGGGTCCCAGTTTATGGGATGTATCCCCCCCCCCCCGTTCCCCCCCATTATCCTTCTGTCGACAGGCGAAGACTCACCTGCGTTACAGTCCCTGAATTCCATTTTTGAGTTAAGATCGTCTCTACGTTTTCCACATTTTCAACTAGTCAGTGTATTTTAAGCAGTGTTACAGTTTGTTGTTTTCAGTGTATATCATACTGGGTTTTTAATTTTATTCTTTTGAGTCCCCTTACCAGGAGAAAACTGGCCTATAAATAAGAGAAATAATAAATAATCTCTGCCTGCCTAAGAAAAACTGGACACTCATGAAAGCTGATAACAGTGATGAGAAGCGCCTCTGTTTGCTTAATAGTTCTTCTTTTCCTTCTCTTTTCCAGGATTGACAAAACCATGCTGGCTGGCTTGAAGATGAAGTGAGTCCTTATTTCTTTCATTTGTATTGAGTCGGTCGCTCTGTCTGCTGGGGCTTGAGCCCCCAAGGTTTGTGATGTGTGTCTCTTGCTGCAGCAGCCTTGCAAGGTGTACTCTCTGAGATGAAGGTGAAGCATCTCCCCTTCAGGTTGCTTCTGGCCAGCTGTGCCACACCTGTATGATTCCCCCAGAGGTTGATGCAGCACCTGGCCTTCCCCTCCTGTGCCTGTAGGGGGCACCAGATCCTAAGTGCATAATTTCTGCCTTAGGCATGGAGACCGCCAGTTTGTGCTTCGAACTCTATGATCATCGTCTCTTGGCGGCGCCCTCTGGAGCCTTTTAGGGAAACACACACCCCCATTCTTTCTGTTTCTTCCCATCTGGGATACAGTATGGGGTTTAGCCCAAGGAGTTTGGGAAGTTTTTAAAAGTACCTCGTGACTCATTGCCATCTTTGCAAAGTAACCCATAGAGGTGATTTGTCACGGTCTTGAAAACGTGATTTGCCACATGGCGCATGTATTTATTTATTTCATTTATATACCACCCCATTCGTGCATAGCGCTAAAGAGAAATTACAAATTAGAAATATTATATATATTTTAATATTTATAATATATAATCACATCATAAAACGTGACAAATGGCCATGATAAAAGCAAAATAAATAAATAAATAAATAAAATAAACCAAACCAACCGTGTTAAGTGGCTTCAAACCACAAACAGCACGAAACAGACATGTTACAAGCGACAGGCCGAAGGCAGGGGAAAGTCCCTTAAGGGTGCATTCGCAAGCCTCTCGAAAGGGCCATGTCTTCAGTGGGATAAGGGATGCGGCCCGGGTGCAGCTCAACCAGGAGCCGGTTCTCCCAAAGCAACTGCTGATTCGTGCAGACGATTTTTCTGTCTTCCTTCGGAGTGGCTTCCCAGAAGAGCATTGCGTGGGAGGAACGGGTGGGGTGGGCGGATGATCTCAGGAAAACACACTCCGACAAGGAACAGGATCTCGAACCGTGGAGGGCTTTGTAGGTCACTGTCAAAACCTTGAACCTGACTTGACTGTAAGGGTGTAACAAATGCTTGTCGAGGGACCCATCTTTGGCGAAAAAGCTGTCTTTATAGACTGAGACACCCCTGTCGACAAGCACGTCAGCTGCAGGCAGGAGGTTCCAGCCCTGCAGAATAAAGCGACAAGCCAGCACTTGCTCCCCAAGCATATTTGCTAAACAGTGTGGTTTTTGCACCCCCCCCAAAAAAACCCAAACAAATAAACACCAACCCTCAGGTTTTGCACCCAGAATTTTGGTTGCAGAATCTCATTGTGTTTGATGCACATGGAAGCAATGGCGTGGAAGTCACAGCGGCTAATTGAGGCTAAATTAGCAAGATGCCTGGTTGAATGGCTACTGATATACAGATCCAGTGACGAGGTACACAAACCAAGTGCACAACCTACACCTTGTTATTTTGCTTCAGTTAGCCACCCCAACCTCCATTTTTGCTTACACATATGTAAAACCCCAAATAAGATTCTGGCTTGTATTTGTGAAAAATTTAGTTGTTTTTTTTTCTGGGCAGAAACTCTACGGTTTGTTTTGTTTGCAAAAATGAGTCCCCTCAAAGGCTTAAAAAAAGAGAGAGAAATCACAAGAGTTCCGATCACGTTGCACAAATGAAACAAGATTTCCGTCCCTATTGCCCTGCTTCTTACTTTTGTAACTTTTCTCTTTTTTGGAGGGAAAAAAAAAGAGTGGGGTTGATAAGAGAAGGCCCCCAGACCGAAAACCTTCTTTTCAAAATGCCTCAAAAATACCTTTAAATGCTCTTTAAAAGCCATGATTTAGCATGGCTGGGGAAACGTTACCGGTGAACACCAATCAAGTCGTTTCTTTTCTTCTGGTACCTGATCTTTTTGAAATGGACCTTTGAAACAGAGCCTTGGTCTTCCCGTTCCTTTGGTGATTTATGACTTCCACGGCCTGGACCAATCCGTTCCCCTTTGCCTGTCTCGCCTTGTGTGGGATTTTAGCATGGCTGGGGAAACGTTACCAGTGAATACCGATCAAGTCGTTTCTGATCTTTTGGAAATAGACCTTTGAAACAGAGCCTTGTCTTCCCAGAAGGGACAAGAGCGAGGGGTCATCCCGTTCCTTTTGTGATTTAGGACAGAGGTTCTTAACCTTGGGTTACTCAGGTGTTTTTGGACTGCAACTCCCAGAAGCCTTCACCACCAGTTATGCTGGCCGGGGTTTCTGGGAGTTGCAGTTCAAAGACACCTGAGTAACCCAAGGTTAAGAACCACTGATTTAGGACTTCTACGGCCTGGACCGATCGTTCCCCTTTGCCTGTCTCGCCTTGTGTGGCTTCTGTGTGGCTCTTCCTGGCTGTGCCTATGTTGGCTGGGGATGGTGGGGGTTGTAGTGGAAAAGCGAGTGAGCAAAGGACTCTGCATCTTACCTATTTCTCCCTGGCACCTGCTCGCCTTCCTTGGTTCTTCCAAAATCTACCACCGGCTGTTCTGCTGCTGTTTTTCTAAAAAATCTTGTGTGTGTTTTGTTTTTTTGTGTGTGGGGGGGGGTGTTGCATTTTTTTTAATGGCTCAAAGCCATCCTTCGGAAGGAATCTGTTTGCCCTCCTTTCCCCCCCCACCCCCCCCGGACAAGATGCCGTTTCTTCTGCTATCTCCCACCCCCCTCACCTCCTCCTCCGCCTCTTTTTACTTCGCCAGGAGGAGGAGGAGGAGGAGAAGCGTTAAGGCTCCCACTTTGCAGCCTGTTTGGTTTTCACTTCTGCAGCTGCACTATTTTTAATCCCAGGATGCATGATTATTGTTTTTCCCTTCTTCTCTCCCCATCTGAAGGCTGAGGTGATTCATGCCCTAAAGAAAGATATAAAACAGAAACTGCCTTCTCTGCGGAAGAGGTGAAACGGGGTGGTGTAAATCGTCATTTGTCTTTGTGAAAGGGGAAAACAATCAGGGCACCCGGTGTGCCAGAAATTGTGGTTTTCTATTTGATGTCAGACTGCATCTCCTATCATCCTTGCCCGTCAGCCCTTGTGATGGGGGCTGATGGGAGTTGGAGTCCGAGAACGTTTGAGTTCTCTTAGCCTCTGCTGTCAAGAGTTGGCCTCATTCTCACAGAGAACTTGTGCCTTGACAGTATCTCTTAAAATTTCAGGCAGGGAAACCTCCTCTACTGAGAAGTTCCCCGCAGGCAGAAAGCTAGCGTTTCAGGGAGAAGGTTCTGTCCTTGACTTTGTCCGTGAGATGCTGGTTTCTGTATCTCTTGAAAGTCTGAAACACAGCTTGCCTTTAGAAAGTCGGACATTAGTATAAGTTCTCTGTTTTGCAAAAAAAAAAGTGACTTATTTAAGAGTAGTAGGTTGGTAAGATCTCTTTCATGGGTCTTGGAATGTTCCAACCAAAAATGTCCTTTCTTTTGGGGGGACATGACTGACTCTCCCCCTTTTTCATTGGGGGGGCTGGTCCCCATCCCTCAAGGCCATTGAGGGGGAAGATGGTTCCACTTGACATGTTGTTATGCTCCATTGTGAAAATAACAGTGTTACGGCATTTGTTTATCTCTTAAAAGCTTCCAGTGTGTTAAGGGCAGTAACGCTGTTGATCCCACTATTTTATTTCCACGCTCCGGGGAAAATATTCCGTTGGGCAATCCCGCCTGCCCCGATTTTCAGTCTGAAAGGTTGCGATCCAGGTTCAAAGGTCCTCCCTTGTTGAGAACTTATCCGATCTCAGAGGAGGGAACAGCCTCAGCGATTAAGCGGAGGGCTGTGGGTTCGATTCCTGAGCTCTGTGGCCAGCCAAGAGAGAAGTGGGTGCCCATGGGGGGGCTGGGCTCAAGATGCCCAGTGGAGACAGAGGAGGTGGAAATCGAATGGATGGAAATGGATCCATGGATTAATCCCAACCCCGGCGACCGGGCTGAGGTGCTCCGAGACCAAAGAACACTTCCGTCTCGGTGACCTTCTGGGGTTCTTGCGAAAGAAAGGTTTCCCTCTGGGTTTTCTAGCTGGATGGCTGGGAGCCAAAGCACGGCCCTGTCCTTGTTTTACGAACTGTGGGGCTGATGTCGGTGGACAACAGCTTTCACCTCCATACGCAGTACAGCTTTCATCCTTTCTTGTCTTCCTCTGTCAAATGCTGATCAGGAGCAGAAGGGAACAAATATTCCAAACCATCCTGACACCGCTTTGGAGGTGTTCGTCAGAAATTCTCCTGTAAGAAGTAGGGGAGAGAGTTATTGTTCAAGTTCAAACACTCCGCCCTGCTCCTGCTCCTGCTCCAAGTTCCCTCTAATAATAACCATGTGCCGGCTAGTCAATTTTGATTTATGGCAACCCCTTTTCAGAGTTTTTCCAGGGAGAGAATACTTTGGAGTGCTTTACCCTTTCCTTCCTCTGTGGGCGCTGTGAGGCTGTGCAGGCTGGCCCAAGGCTACCCAGGCTGGCTCTTCTCACAAGAGGCACCGCGGGAATCAAACTCCTGACCTTGGGCTCCGTAGCCAGTTACTCCAACTCACTGAGCTACCCAGCCAGCTTCCAGATTCCCCATCAGCCCTTTAAGGGACAAAAAGCCTCCCCCCCCCTCCTTGGGGATGCAGAGAACCTGGGGAAAATTCTTTTTTAAAAAAATGGCAAAACTCAGATTCTAGGAGTCCAAAAACTTTTCTAGGTCCTTTTTCTAGTCTTCCCTGGAGGACTGATGGCAACCAGGTTGGAGAAATGCCTCAATAAATGAGGTACAGAATCTCTCCCCACCAGGAATAGATCTTGCTGATATTTAGCGGGCAGTAACTCCTTGCTCGTTCCCTAAAGTACAGGGGTGGGCAAACTGTGTCCATCTATGGTAGGACTAACTCCTTGTTTTCAGAAGCTAAGCAGGTTCAGGTCTGGTAAATACTGGGATGGGGCATGGCCAGAATACTAGCAACCTCATAGTATGGGAAGGCAAAGTCACCTACTGAAAACAATGAAGAGTT